GTACTTAGTATTTCTATATGTGCTGCGCTTCTGTTGAAACCCAGGACAAGACCAATTTTTCCCCACCACACCCCTGTGAGGTAGGCTGGAATGAGAGTGTGTGCCTGGCCCAAAGTCCCCCAGGGAGCTTCTGTGGCTCAGCGGGGCCTGGGTCCCCCAGGTGCCAGCGCAACCCTTTCCCCACCCCAGCGCCCTGGCTGGTCGATCTGCCATGCGATGAAGGAGATCTGAGCCCATGAGCCCCTTGATCCTGTTGGTAGGCAGGTATTTTAGCCCACATTTGGGGTTTCTTCTGTGGAGTGCGAAGGGGGGCACTGCCACTCCCTCCTGGTTAGTGGCTCTGAATGCCCCCCGAGCCCCTCCCCTGCTGCAGCCTGGCCCCACCTGGAGAATGGTGGGCTGACTTCAGGGACGGGGGGACACTCACTGCCAGCCTTGAGGTCAAGGATTAAGCCAGCCGGCAAGCTTGAGTGAGCCTGCTCTGGAAACACGGTTGCCTTCGGTGGGGCTGAGAAAGCCCCCCCCTCCCGATTAACCTCTTGTCTTTGGATAAACCGAGTGGGATGCGGCGGGGGGGCAGGATGGTTCCAAGGCTTCTCTTTTCTATTGAGCCTTCTCGTAAGGGCCCCCCAAGACCGTTCCAGCACAGACGCTGCCGTCTCCATGAATGATACAAAATTCCACTTTGGCCCAGCGCTTTCTGCTCTCTGAAGCCTCCCCAGCCTGGCCCAGGGGGCAGGAGAGGCTGAAATCAGGGGGCCCTGGTCTCCTGCAAGGAGCTGGAAGCAAAGCCGGAAACAGCAGTCCAGCTAGCCAAGGCCCCTCTCCCCAGCACCGTGCATCCCACCACTGGGGGGGAGCAGAAAATCCAGGACGCCAGCATTTCAGCACAGCCCCCGGGTGCATGTTGTGATAAGCGCCGGTGCATGAATCCACAGCAGCCTTCCCTCACCCCGTGCAACCTCCAAAGGTGGTGGACTACCACACCCATTCTCCCCCACAGATCTGGAGGGCTCCAGGTTGAGGGGGAAGTCTGACCCGGAGGTTGGCCACGGGCGACCCAACCTGGATGATGGGAACTGAAATCTAGCTGCTCTCGAGAACGCCGATGTTGCGGGAACTCCTGCCCGACCCATCGTCTTCCGGGGCTGTTGATCTGCAACGTCCATAATTCCCCCAAGGCCAGGTTAGGACAGGTTAGGTGGGGCTGTTTCACTCCACCAGCCGAACTGCTTTTCCTAACCACCCACCCCCGAAGGCCATTGAGTTCTACAGCATCCATGAACAAAAATCTCACTTTCTTTAAAGAGACCCATGTAAAAGAACTTCTCTCCGCCAAATTCCACTATGGCCAACATGCTGTTGTCTTTAAACGATAGACATACAATATATAAACACACGCACACACACACTCTGTATTTGCAGGAAAGAGGACCCAGATCCAGACCAAAAAGTGTTGAAAGCTATGACAGGTTTGCACACAGTGCGAAAATTAAGTGAATTTTGAGAGAAGAACCGAACTTCTTGGAAGCCTCTTTAAAAAACACAAATCTGAATTAGGCCTGAATTCTAGCGGCAATCCTGAACAAGAAAAACTGATAAACTGAGGACGGACTCAGGAAAGCCAACAATTGATCCCCTTGTCAGAAAAAAAGACCTCTGAACTGGATTTGAGCTTACTTTGGACGGGACTTTATTTTCATAACTGGGGAGTCAGAATCTCATTTAAGGACATTTCTGGGTTCAGCCTGATATCTGGAATATCAAGCTCCAAGCAGCTTTCCACCAGTTTGGACGGTATTTGCGGAGCTTCGTTTGAGGAGATTGTGTTGAGCTGCTGAACAACGGCTCTTAGCTGTAGCTAGCCTGGGTTAATGCAGGGCGTTCAAAGGGGGGGCCACCGCTGAAGAGTCTTCAGAAACCTCTACTGGTCCCCAAAATGGGGCTATAACAAAATTGGGGTGGAGAGGGCCATTGGCCCAAGAAATCATTGCACAGGTGAGGAGGAGGAG